AAAAATAATATGTGTGTGGCAGCAATGCGTCACCATACGCATGCGTGCAGTGAGCATATGCACAAATATTTAATGAATATTGCTCTTGAACATTGAATAGTAATAATTTTTATTATTATTATTACTATTATACCGCAATGTGAAATATTGTTATTATTAGAAGTAATAACAACAGTAATAATAATAATAATTTACATTATATATATATTTGGATTGATTTATATTAATTAGCTAACCAAACCAGCTATGTGTGCGCTATTGTCTAATTTGAAGAGAACCAACGCATTGGTCTGTATGGCTGTATGTTTGTATGTTTATTTCAAGCAGAGTGTGTTTATTAAAGCGAGTGCGCGTATAGCAGAAGCTCTACGGTAGATTCAAACAAAGAGTCATTTGTATCGCTCCTGTAGTTTGTTTGCCTGGAAAAGCTGCTTCTGCACAACTCAGACATGAGTATATGCACAAATATTTAATGAATATTGCTCTTGAACATTTATTATTAGTAGTATTATACCGCAATGTGAAATATTGTTATTATTAGAAGTAATAACAACAGTAATAATAATAATTTACATTATTATATATTTATATTAATTTATATTTCATATATATTATATTGTTATAATCTAAATATACATTTATATAAATATATATTGTTTTGAATCATTTAATATAATATGCATTGTACCACAAGATAAATTATTGTTATTATATATATAAGTATATCATTAAATTGCTCTGTATGATTTAATATAATCATATGCATGAAATTATTATTGTTATTATAAATATTAAAAACAACAATCATTATTATATATTTATATAAATGTATAATTTTATTTAATATATATATATTGCTCTGTATCATGGAATAATATAATATATTATATCACAATGTAAATTATTGTTACTATTATTAGTACTATTAGTAACATTATTATATACATTTATATTTAATAAATATTATATTGTTTGATTATATATAGCTAAAACTATAAAAAAGTTAAGACTTTAGGTTGGCTTGAGAAAGCCTCGCCTGAAAGTTTAAAGCAGTTGTAAAAGCTTGAAGTTTGACAATTTAGATAGATAGAATAGATAGATGTTGCTAGCATGTTTCTAGCATGATTAGCATGTTCTTAGGATGATTAGCATGTTCTTAGGATGATTAACATGTTGTTAACAAGATTCTAGCATGATTAGCATGTTTGCTAGAATGTTTTGCCATAATTAGCATGTTACTAACATGTTGCTACCATGATTAACATGTTGTTAGCATGTTTCTAATGTTATTAGCATTTTGCTATCATTTTTCTAGCATTATGTTGTTAACATGTGACTATCATGATTAGCATGTTGATAACATGTTTCTAGCATGATTAGCATGTTGTTAACATGTTTCTAACATGATTAACGTGGCGCTAGTATGATTAGCATGTTTGCTAGAATGTTTTACCATAATTAGCATGTTACTAACATGTTGCTACCATGATTAACATGCTGTTAGCATGTTTTTAATGTTATTAGCATGTTGCTATCATTTTTCTAGTATGATGTTGTTAACATGTGACTATCATGATTAGCATGTTGATAACATGTTTCTAGCATGATTAGCATGTTCTTAGGAGGATTAGCATGTTTTAACATGGTTAGCGTGTTGTTAGCATTTAGCTAATCATGATTCTAACATGATTAACATGTTGTTAACAAGATTCTAGCATGATTAGCATGTTTGCTAGAATGTTTTGCCATAATTAGCATGTTACTAAAATGTTGCTACCATGATTAACATGTTGTTAGCATGTTTCAAATGTTATTAGCATGTTGCTATCATTTTTCTAGCATGATGTTGTTAACATGTAACTATCATGATTAGCATGTTGATAACATGTTTCTAGCATGATTAGCATGTTGCTAGCATGTTTCATGTATTTGCAGTTCTGTGTTTGTGTCATTGCATTATTAAATGTGTACATTGTCATTTAAATTTAGCCACCCTTTATTCAAACTCAACAATTATTTACAGAATTTAAAAAACAAAAACAAAATAGAAAGAAAAAGTCCTATGAATTGGTCAGACAATACAATTTGAATCATTCCACATTGTGAGATTTGCTTTTTTTATGAATCAGAGGCAACAATTTGACATCAAACAAAAATGCGATTAATGACACAGTAATGAAACCAAACGATACTCTCTAAAGTAACGAAATGAATGCCTCTCCCGAAAGGCTGTCGAATTACACATGCATACACACACACATCCCGTCCCACTCAAACGATGTGAAATTACATTCAAAACAGTTGTTATTAACAGTCCAATGTGCTAGTTTAGAACTGTAGTCGAAGCGGTAGGAAGATGAGATGTTATGAAAAAGGCCTTAATGTGCGTCAGGAACTCAAAGTGAGTGTAGAAATGATATTTGTGCTGACTTTCTGTACTGTGAATGTGTTTGTGAAGTTCATCCCGGTTCTCAAGAGGTGAGTAGTTACAACGTCCTGCTCCAGTGTCAAGCAGTTCACAGTAGCTTCATGCCAGTTCATTGC